GAGTAAATGAATAATTGAATGACTGAATAATTGAATGCTTTATAAGATTTGGCAAAGCATGTTATGAAAAAAATACCAAATAATAATACTACAACAATAACAACAGCAAATATCTTAGGAGGTTCATGTCCGTTATTTACATGACCTTGGAGCCCTATGGATATTCACTGTCTTTGCCCAATCAGTATCCATTCCCTTGCTTCTGATTTTCCTTGGAAATTGTCAATCAAGGCACCATGGTAATCAAGAGATGGGATAATTGTCCAGTTGGGTTATCCAGGGATTTGCATCTTGAGTTGAGTTACCCAAGAATGGAAATAATTGGACCAAATTCTTCCAGAACACTATGCCCTATATAGACTGGCCAACTGTTTAAAGGGCTTTGTAGAATCACATGGGTTCTAGAGACAAGTTGCCCAGGATTGAGGATGGATCTACCATTTATTACCCTCATGTCTTTCGATTATTTAAGGTTACTTAACTCTTCAATGTCTTCAGTTTCCTTTCTGTATATAAAAGTGATATGCAATGCCCATCATGGGTCTTCTTAGGTTCAGCTGAAGAGTCAGGCTCAGAAGACAGCAATAGGCTCTACATTTGACATCAGTTTACTCAGAAGCCTCTCCGACGTTCTTCAAAACAGGAGCCCTTACAATAACTCACACAGTAGTTTTCAAGTCCAAGGAGCCAAGATCCACATCAAGTAGGAATTGCTCTGGCATAAAAACCCTCCTTCCCACTCCAAGAAGTCGTGTAACAAATTCACAGGCATAGCTTTTCACATAAGAACACGGCAGTTGCAAGAGTCAGAGAAGCCACAAAACAATCACTTCCTAACAAGTATTTACACTTTTCCCAGTCTAGGAGCTATTAACCAACCAGGGATCATTTCTACAATAAGCAATGCTGTCTAGCATTATAGTTGACACATAACGTTACATTGGTTTCCAGAGTAATAGTCAGGCAGTTAATCAAAGGTCAGACTGTCATGCCACAGGGGAATTGGGTTTTATTTACCCATTTGCCCAGAGGATAATAATGGCACCCACCTCATAGCATTTTTGTGAGGGTCAGGTGAATTAGTATACAGCCGTGGGCAAACTACAGCCCGCGGGCCGGATCCTGCCTGTTTGAAATGAATAAAACTAAAAAAAAAAAAGACCATACCCTTTTATGTAATGATGTTTACTTTGAATTTATATTAGTTGACACAAACACTCCATCCATGCTTTTGTTCTGGCCCTCCGGTCCAGTTTAAGAACCCATTGTGGCCCTCGAGTCAAAAAGTTTGCCCACCCCTGGCTTAGAACAATGGCAGGATCCTAGTAAGCACTCAATAAAATGCTAGCTACTGTTATTATAGATTTCTGGAGCTGCTTATGTTTTCTTCCCTTTATAAGATCTGATTATTCAGTTTTTTCTTCAATTCTCTTAGCCAGGGGTCCTCAAACTACGGCCCGCGGGCCACATGCAAATACAAATATTGTATTTGTTCCCGTTTTGTTTTTTTACTTCAGAATAAGATATGTGCAGTGTGCATAGGAATTTGTTCATAGTTTTTTTTAAAACTATAGTCCGGCCCTCCAACGGTCTGAGGGACAGTGAACTGGCCCCCTGTTTTAAAAAGTTTGAGAACCCCTGCTCTTAGCTATCACTAATTCTTCCAGTAAATGAAACTTTTGGCTAAGTTGATCAGAGTAACTTTCTACTACAACTTATAACTTTGATTATGCAGGAGAAGCAAGAGAAGGAGCCTGTCTGAGCTAGGTAGTCTAACCCAACCTGACTCTGAGCCCTTTCCTAAATGCCAGATCTCTCAAATTACCACATGAGAGCCCAAGACTACCAATATCTCCCCAGCCTAGAGTGACATGGAACCTGATGCCGATGTGGCTGCCAGCTGGGAGCCTAAGGTGACTCTGTCCTCGAGCATAAAAAAGGAAGAAGCCATGTTACTCTGCTTACCTGGCTCTGAGATTTTAGGTCACTGTGTATTAGTTACTTGAGGGAAGAGAACACAGGGCTTAGAAGAGACTTGTCTTAGAAAAGGTAAGTTGTTACAGTAGTTCATTAGGGAGGTGGGCAGTGATAACTCAGGTAAACAAGACCAGGATGCTTGGCTGGAGCACAGACATAAGTCCAGGGAAGAGCAGGTTATAGTAAATTTGTCTTTAAAGGAGAAGCAGCACAAATAGCACATTTATTTATTTCTCCTGCCATTCAGTGAATAGGAATGGTATCTGGTGGTATCCGCAGATCTGTGCCCCTGTTTCCTTGACGTAACTATCTGATGTAGAAGCAGATGACTCACTTGAAGGCATTTCTCCTCCTGTCCCCTTTTTATGGTCATGGTGTCTGGCATTCTGAATTGATAATTCCTCCCCTTGTCCAGGCTTCTCCAAGGCCCTTCCCTGCAACAGTCTATGTCAGGTCTGCTTCTACCTCCTGCTTCTGACACTCTGACTAAATCAAGCACAGCAAGAAACCAAGGCAGCTTTCCACTGTATTTGTTGCTAAAGTTTCAGCCTGTTCTCTGGGTCTAAAGAATATTGCCTGAAAGACTTCTTTAAAAAAGGTGAGAACATAAATATATACAAAACACTAGCAAGTGTCTGAATACAGGCCAAGAATCCACTGACATCTTTTCCTTTGGAAAAAAGCCAATGAGGTGAAGTCCACCATCTCTGCCCATTGGGCTCAAAATTCTTTCTGTTGCTGTCCTTCCTGGTATAGACTAGGGCTGCCCAAGTGCCAGTCATGTTACTCGTATATGACCCCTACCTATAATATTAGTTACCTATTTGATTTCAAATTTATTCCCCTCCTTTTCAAACATAAGTTCCTATTTACCCTCTCCAAATTCAAATTACCCTTGTAATAATAAATTTAATGTGCTATTTTTTATTATTTCCTTGAGAAACACTTGCAGAACTCTTAGGGTACATCAGGCCCTTCTCTAAGTACTTTACAAATATTAGCTCATTGAATGATGAGGAAGGACTCACACAGTGAGCAGTAGAACTGGGTAAGAAATCCAGGTAGGATGGCTCCAGAACTCAAGTATAACCTGAATTAACCACTATGCTACTCCATCTTTTTAATATAGATTTAAATAACCTAACTGTTAAAATATTTTAATTTTAATTAATATACCACCTAAAATCACCTCATGCACCATCTGTGGCACATACCACACTTTAAGAAACACCAACTGAGTGGAAAGAACTCTAGACTTAGAGAAGAAGACTTCACTTCAATTCCTTTCCCACTACTTACTTGCTCTGTGACCACCTTTTCTGACCAGTGTTAAGCCTCAGTTTCCCCACATGTTGACTGTGGATAATAATCCCTACTTCTCTCACAGGTGGTGGCAGAGACTAGAGAATTCCTACCTTCACAAGTGCTTTGGGAAATAGCACTTCCAGGAGTCAACATCATCCCCTCTGATAATGAATCAATGTTTAAAATTAAGGAAACGGTGCCCCTGTTTTTTCATTACAAGCAGCCCTTGCTGGTTGAAACATCTTTCGAATAAAAAGTAGATCCTTTTGTTCCTTTGTGCTATAGAAGTTGTTGCTGCTCCTGCCAATTCAAAATAAATTACTTCATGAAGTAAGGTCTGTTTATGTTATTCCACTACCTGATGACTTCCTGTATATAACATTCACATGTGAGCATCTCAGCCAAAGGCCCATAAAGCCATTTCCCCCACACTTCACACTCGGCTGTGCGAAACATCTGCTTTTCTTGGCCACCTGAGTTGATGAGTTTTACTTTGCACCACGGTGAGGTCCAGGTGTCAAGCGAAGGCCCAGACATTTTCTTCCCTCATTGCCTCAAGAGGGGTGTGGGTTTATAGCCCCATTTCCCCCACAAGAGCTGATGGCGAGGAAGGCATGGCAGCTGGGCTTCATTACTCTCAATCAATGGCCATGACTTTTTTTTTAAGGTAGCAGACAGGGGTGAAGGTTGCATTCTCGCATTTTCAGCCAGTTTGGAGCTGTGGCCATCTGGAAAGATGGATATGAATACAAACCTCAATGAGGAAAGTTTGGGTTTATTTTTCTTCTTCAGGAGCTCCTACAACTTAAAAATTCCCCAAGTCCTCCCACTGGGAGTAGCGTGTTCCCTAGACTGAGCCGTGAGTGTGGACAAGGATCTGATCTCTGTTCCATCCTGCTCCACTCATTATCAATATGAAATGAGAATAAGTAATGTAATTTTGGTGGAGTGTTTTGATATCCTCACATGAACAGTAATCTGTAATAAATTAGTGAAACCCTGATATCACAGAGGCTTTTGGGGGAGTCTCCTTTCTGATTCCAACAATCCTTCATTATCAAACATTTTTCTTTTCTTTTTTTAATATGTTTTATTGATTTTGAGAGAGAGAGGAAGGAAGAGGGATAGAGAGATAGGAACACCGATGATAGAGAAACATCATGAATTATTTGCCTCCTGCACAATACCCACTGTGGATCAAGCCCACAACCCGGGCATGTGCCTTGACAGGGAATCAAACCAGTGATCTCTTGGTTCCTGGGTCTAGCTCTAGCTCAACCACTGAGCCATGCCGGGCAGGCACCAAGGATTTCTTTTGAGCCCTGTGCCCACTCTCACCTTGGAGAACACATCTCAGTATGACAGAGAACTTCACCAGACAGCCGATCCTTGTGAAAGGAGGGGCAAGATAAATAGAGGAAATGTCTCCTAAATCCTTCATGGCTTGTCTCTGTGCCTCTGTCGGCCAAACCACAGCCTCCTAACATGAAAAGAAAGCAACTCTCTTCCTGAAACAACACAGCTCATATTTTGAAGACCAGAGCTTATTGAGGAAATTACTCAAAACATGTTGCAACTGCACCAATACACTGATATCCCAGGCGCTGCCCATCACACCTTTTGTATTTAATAACCTGTGGACCTTGACCTCATGCTGCACCAGCGTTGAGTGCTTCTTCTCCTCTTGCTTTGGACCTCCTGCTCCAGCTCAGCTTGAAATGGACCCCCACCACTCTTGCTCCACTGGTGGCTCCTGCACCTGTGGCAGCTCCTATAAATGCAAAGACTGCAAATACACCTCCTGCAAGAGGAGCTGCTGCTCCTGCTGCCCCAGGGGCTGTGCCCAGTGTGCCCAGCACTGCGTCTGCAAAGGAGCATCGGACAAGTGCAGTTGCTGTGCATGATGTCAGGGGAGCCTGCTCCCCAATGTAATAGAGCAACATGTTCAAACCTGCATTTTTTTTTTTATTCCACCCTGACCCATTCGCTATATTCTCTGTTCTATTAAATATGCGAAGGATAATAAAAGTTGTTGACCTAAAAAAAAAATAATAATCTGTGGACCTTCATGGTTTAGTACAAGTGGAAAATGAGCCAAGAGAACAAACTTACATTCTTTCCTGAAAGGGGATTTTCACACAACATACTGTCTGTCCAACACACCTCCATGCTTCTAGTGGGTTCTGCCGGTAGTTTTCCTAAGCCACCTCCATTGCCTGTCTGGCCAGAAAAGATCACTTTTTTAATGGTCCTGGTTGACTGTAAATAACTGTATTTATTTAGTTGCTTGGGATTTTCCTTCAATCATCCCTTTATTGCAGGAATATATTAAAAAGCGTTAGACACTTTCACATGCACTACGTCATTTGATCCCCAAAACTATAAGATAAGCAGAATGCCCCCATTTTGCAAGCAGGAAAGCCCAACAGGGAGAGGTCACAGACCTTGCAGTGGTTACTCAGGGTTCACACCCAAGTCTTCTCCAAGTCCCGCATGCTCTATGTCAAATGAACTCCTTCAACTTCTCTTCTCTATGTTCTCCGCTATCTCAATTGCCATCACTAATAACAGTTGACCATTGAAGAACACAGGTCTAAACTGCACTATTCACTTATACATGAATTTTTTTTTTCAATAGTCAGCCCTACCTATCTGTGACTTCACATCCGCAGATTCAACCAAGCACAGACCAAAACCAGTATTTTCACATTCTCAACCACAGATTCCCAATGGCTGACTTAAAATACTGTTTCCCACCCATAGCTGGTTGAATGCAGGCATAAGAAAGGCCAACTATAGAGTCAAAAGTTGTAGGCGGATATTCAGTTTGGTGGGTGTCCCAGCCTTCTACCCCACGTTGTTCAAGAGTCACTGTGCTTACTCTCCTCTTTGCAAGAAGTGTTCTCTCTCCTTTCCATCCATGCATGGAAGCGCAGCAGGTCCGGACTCCTCCAGGACCAGTCTTCCCTGCATCTTATATTTTTTCCTCTTCATGGATAACCTCCTTCCTTTCCTTTGCTCTCTCAGCCAAATTTCTAAAAAAGCCAACTACACTCTTCCCATTGCTCAATCCCTATCTGCTGCTCACTCCCTTGAATGCCCACCAAAAGGACAGCTTTAATGCACTACTGGTCTTTTCCTTTAGTTTTACTACATTCTGATTCCCATCCGGACCTCAAGCAAATAAGCATTTGCTGATCTGTATGCCAAAAGGAGATATATCCTCAGATATGCTTTTTTCTTCATGAATTTTTTGAAGTACCATACTAAATATTTTTCCAGGTCTTTTGTTTTCTCTTTGTTGAACAATTTGAGCGACCTCGAAGCAAGAACTATGTCCTCTTGTTTTCAGTAGTGGGCTTTAGGGCATGCATGCAATCAAGTAAGAATCAAATAAGAAATAGAACTCAAACTCTTTCTCCTAAATGGTATGTGCTGCACTAAATACCAAAGCTCCCATAACTTCAGAGAACAGAAGAAGAAGAGCCATGTTATTTAGGAAACAACAGTTTCTTTTTTGAAAGTTGGCTAATATGACATAGAAGCCCCACTTTCCATAGATAGAGGAGACAGAAAGAATAAATTGTTAGCTCTGTCAAAAACCTGAGCTACCTGTGTTAGCAGAAAAATAAGGAAAAACCACTTCAATGCATTGCTGGTGTGAGTGTAAATTGGAAACACTTTTTTTTTTTTGGAGAAAGACATCAATATTTCTCAAAATAAAAAATACAGCCTGGCCGGCATGGCTCAGTGGTTGAGTGTTGACCTATGAACCAGGAGGTTGCAGTTTGATTCCTGATCAGGACACATGCCTGGGTTGTGAGTTCCATCCCCAGTGAGGGGTGTGCAGGAGGTAGCTGATCAATGATTCTCTCTCATCATTGGTGTTTCTATCTCTCTCTCTCCCCTCCCTTCCTCTCTGAAATCAACAAAAATATAGACATTTTTAAAAATATATATACTCTGACCCCACAATTCCATTCCTTTAGAACTAATCCCACAGGTTTACTCATGTCTATGCTCAAGGAAATGTTTGTTGTAATATTCATTGAAGCATTTAAAAAGTGAGGCAGCTCAATATCATATGCAATGATCTCCAAGATAAGATATAAAGAAAGCAAAATGCAGAACAATATGTGTAATGCTAATACTTATGAAGGTGGGACACACACACACACACATACACACACTTTTAGGCAAATAAATACATACATACACATTTGGGCTTAAAAAGATGTCTCTGGCATTTTATACCAGACTAGAGGCCTGGTGCACAAATTTGTGCACGGATGGGGTCCGGCAGGGCGGGGCAAGGGGGGACTGCTGGTAGTTGGCCAGCCAGCCCTGCCCCTGATTGGGGGGGGGAGTGATTAGGGGCGTGGCCAGCTGGAGGGAGGGACCACAGGCAGTTGGCCAGCGGGCCCCACCCCCTGGTTGAACTCCAGGTCAAGGGTATAATTTGCATATTAGTCTTTTATTATATAGGAGAGGAATTAGGGCCTGAGGGCTGGGAGTGGAAAGAAAACTTACTTTCCCTCTACATTTTTATGTACTAACATAAAATCTTGTCTGGTGTAAATATGAAATTGTTAACAATTTTTTAAAGCTTGTGTTAATTTGAACATCTTTTTTCCCAATTATGTGTAAATAATTGCTATAATTTAGCATTCGCTCCCCCCCCCCACCCTCCCCAGTTAAGTGTGAAGAGTTGCTGTAAGATTTGAGAGGCCAACTCTGAATTGAGATGTTTCAGCCACAGATCTGGGATGGAAGAGTTTTTATGTTGCTTTCACTGGTTTTGGGTTTCACTGTTTTCAGAACTTTAAATGAAGCGTTATTATAAAGAAGGCAAAAACTACTTAATCCGTACACAAGGTCCCTGTCTCATTAGTTCATATTCCCACCTCTTAGGTCACACAGTGGTCACAGCTGTACCTGGGAGAGGTTTCCAGGAACAATCTCACTGTTTCTTGAAATAGTGTTCTGTCCTACAGGTCCTGGGTCTCAGAACGTGAGTAATAACACTCACCAACCACAGTCTACCAGCCGTGGGCAAACTACGGCCCGCGGGCTGGATCCCGCCCGTTTGAAATGAATAAAACTAAAAAAAAAAAAAAAAGACCGTACCCTTTTATGTAATGATGTTTACTTTGAATTTATATTAGTTCACACAAACACTCCATCCATGCTTTTGTTCCGGCCCTCTGGTCCAGTTTAAGAACCCATTGTGGCCCTCGAGTCAAAAAGTTTGCCCACCCCTGGCTCTAGTCTGTTCCTTCTACGGCAACTTCAGTCAATAACCTAAATCATTACTACTCCATCATTTCAACTATCCCCTTAAGCTCTCTATTCCCAATATCAATTGCAAGTTTTTGGTACCACCTTCAGACCTTCCATTTCTGTCTTAAAGTAATATTGCTCTCTTCCCTCAGGAGTCTCCCCTCCCCCCCCCCTCCGCCCCCCCCCCTCCCGCCCCACCTCCCAACAGTCAACCTCACACCCCAGGAGAGAAGGAAAGGGTTGATTCCAGAGACCATGATCCCCCAGCCATGTAGGAAGCACCCACAAGACAGCCGTTAGCAGGCATCCAGGAACTTCAGGCTGCTCTGGCCCTCATAACAACTGTTATTGGAGAGGTGGTTTTACAGCAGCCACTGTTGTCAAGTGGAAATAAATTTTTAATAATAAGAATAACAGCAGCAGATTGATACTTTGGCTCTTCTGGAACAGCCATCCAGGGGGATATTCAGCCTTAAAGTTCTATCAGTTCAAGCAAAAGTTAATGCTTCCACCCCCCCAGGGGAACACTATAGCTCTTAATCTCCTTTACAAGCAGCAGAGGACTTGAGAAGCACTGACAGCCGAGGACCTGGCCATTGCCAGGTAGCCTGCGAATGAGCAAGCACTGAGGCATCGCGGCCCTTCTCCATGTCTCTGCTTTTCTCACTAGTCTCCCTTTCGCCAACTTTCCTGTAGGTGTGGTAAATCCACATGTGTAATTCTCAGAAACCATAATTCGCACTTTCTCTGGGCGCCAAACAATTCTAGAATGCTAAGACGCTTTCAACAATCCACTTCCCCTTCTCACTTCAGCTTCTGGCATTGGTCAGGGATAGAAAACCGCCTCATATGCCCTCCTCAATCTTGTTCATTGTGCTATCAAGACACCTGTGAGAGGTGTCAAGTCCAAGCACGCAATGTGAATTTATATCTTTACGCATCTAATATGCAGTACTGACTATTCCTGAATCCCCATGCAGTTTGAAAGAGAACATGATGCATGTAAAACCTAAAGTGATTTTAGCCTGATTTTTCCATGAAACAAGGACTTATAAATTACTCTAAATGTCGAACTCTGCCCTTTTCCCCTTTTCCAGTAATCATTCTCAGTAACTTAGGAGACCTAAACTACACATTTGTATCTACCATGGGCCCAGACTGGGTTATTTATTTAATTCAGCTGAGAATTTGGGGTGTAATGTTCTATTAATTCACAGATGACCTATTTTTTTAAATATATTTTATTGATTTTTTTACAGAGAGGAAGGGAGGTGGTTAGAGAGTTAGAAACATCGATGAGAGAGAAACATCGATCAGCCACCTCCTGCACACCCCCAACTGGGGATGTGCCCGCAATCAAGGTACATGCCCTTGACTGGAATCGAACCAGGGACCCTCCAGTCCACAAGCTAATGCTCTATCCACTGAGCCAAACCAGTCAGGGCAGATGACCTATTTTTATCATGATGCAGAGCCAACTTCTTTTTGAAATATTGGACGTGCTATAAACACAATGCAGTAAGAAGGAATTCTTCATTCTGACTTAACCTGGTTATTTTCCTAACTATTCACATGAGAAAAGAAAAATCCTCAAATGCCCTCAAGTTTCACAAACATATTTTTG